TAAGAAGAATGTATCTCCATCTTACAATTTAGAGTTTGTGGAAGAACTTGGTAATTACTAGTATTATATTTGTTAACTATACATTAGCTAGCTAATATGCATATTGCACAGAGATACATGTAACCAATTTTCAGATTCTAAATGCATGGCCATGGGGGGGGGGTGTTATTACTAGGAAATAATTTTCCCGGCCATGTATAGAATACTGTAGAAAAATTAGCTACTATATATATACATGTGGCCCCTCACAACTGATGACCTTTTTTTGAGCTTGTTCAAGAAATTTTTGTTAGTTGATAGTGCCCCCAACTCAAACTGATTGGCCTTGCTCCCCTTTCCCCCCAACTGAAATTGCTTTCTATGAGCCTGAAATTTTAGAAAAAAAAATGAGAATGACAAAGGATTCTTTGCTTAATGATTTTATACATATAAGACAAAATCCTTTGTTAAGTAGAAATTAATATGACATTTTAGCACTGTAATTTCGTCTAACATATAACTCAATATTCATCAAATTAGATTTCAAAGATATTTCCGTTGCAACGTGTATGAGCAAATGCAAGTTCTTATGCGGAATTTACTGCAGTATTTCCTTTTACTCTGTCAGAGTTAATTATGAATGAAATTATTATTAAGACAGTTCTGTCTGAGAGTATATCACAAAATACTGACATTTTCTCTTACCTGGAGATGGGGACTGGGTAAGGTTACACTACCTGCACCGTGTTTTCCCCTAGATCCTCATTGATAGATAAGAACCAGTGGTCTCAATCTCCTTAACAATAAAAATTCAAGTAAGAAGAATGTCAGTATTATAGTTGTAAAATGCAATTAAAGGCATAAGAAAAAGGAAGACAATTGAAGTTTTTTTAATGATTTTTTTTTTCAGTTGATATTTATGAATTAGGAAAAAGGAGTTCGTAATACATCGTACCTATTAATTTATTTTGTTTGATACAAAAAAGCGTTCTTAGCAATCCGCACTTTTATACCTATCCGATTATGTTAACAGTTTTGCTTTATATTTAAGGACAAAACTATTCCCTCAGCTTGACATTTTATTAAGCCAATGTTCAAGTGTTATTAATATAAAGTCTGTATCAGAAAATTTAATCAAAAGTCACAGGAGTCCATAACACGTACAGGAAACTAAATTGATAACTTGACTTCACACTAGCCTACACATTAGCAAAAAGGAATATTCGCCACTCACTCTCACCAAAATTCAAGGACATAAGTTATATATGATACACACTTACCCTTTTATGCTAATTGTAATAAGTGTTAATTGTGTTTAAATAAATTGAATTTTCAACGCCCATAATTCTTTTATCTATTCAATTGCATTGAATTTTTGCAATTAGAATGGAATACCTTAACTTCTTTAGTTTAAAATATATTTTATTCATTAAGAAATGGATTGAACAGCAGGCATAAATGCCTATGATCGTTCTCTCCATAACCTTAACTTCTTTATTGGTGATTCAACATTCAACTTCGATTCTTCAGTAACCTTCTGAGCGCCCGACTTTCCAAAAAATGCCTTTTACATACATACCACTTGGTCAGTTTATTTGAAGTGTTGTCATGTTATTCCACCATTTAGAGTCATCAAAGCGATTTTCTCAAATGCCCCTTCACTGTTACACCTATAAATTCTTATGTTAATCTTGACTAACCATTGTTCCCCCGCCCTTCTCTCAGGGGTCATGATTTGATACAAGAGGCCCTTGGGCCTTATAGATTACCTGAGTATCATGTAACAACTTTCCAGCAATTGAATTTGATTCCTGTTTTAAACCAGAGGCCATGAAATTCACTTTTGAAAGAGGCACCATTGCTTATCATAACTATACACTTAACATGCTTAACTTGGTTACTTATAAAATCCCCAGAGGTATATCAGAGTAACAGAGAGAAAATGCACTTCCTCTTAACCCATCCCACAGGATCCACTGACCCTCGGGACACATTTTTAAAAATTTTAAAATTTTATTTCATCATGTTGTTGATTAATACCAAAGTGCACATTTCAAATTATTAAACTATTTTCAGAATATGCCCCCCCCCCCAAGTACCTCTGTCCCAGGGGCCCAGAAATTAACCATTTTGAAAGAGGCAGCTTTCTTTGTCATAAATGTGTAGTAAGATCATTGGCATAATACACAGGAGCAAAGGAAAACAAATTCAAAGACTTCATGCGTTTTCAAAATATAAACATTAGAGTCCCGCCCTAGCACAAGAAGCCCTGACCCAGGGGCAATGAAATTCACAAATCTCAAAAAAGCAACCTTCTCCTCATAAGTAGTACATTGGTTTATACCCTGGTGCAGAAAAGGAGATTTTTAAAGAATTAATGCATTTTCACTATACAATCAATAGAGTCCCACCCTAACACCAGAACCCTCAACCCAGGGCCAATGAATTTCATAATTTTTGAGGAGACATTCTTATTCAACATAACTACGTACTTGGTTAGTTTATTTAATACTCAGGACCAGAGATTTTCAAAGAAATAATTCATTTTCACTATATAATCAAGGTTATAGCCGCGCCCTAGCACTAGAAGCCCTGACCCAGGGGCCATGAAATTCACAATTTTGGAAGAGGCGATCATTTTCAACATAACTATGCACTTGGTAAGTTTATTTAATTTCCACAAACCGAGAAGAAGAATTTCAAAGGACTCATTCAATTTCACTATATAATCTACTGCATAGCCCCGCCCTACCACTAGAACCCCTGACCCTGGGACCATGAAAATCACAATTTTGGAAGAAGCAGTCATTTTCAACTTAACAATGCACTTGATTAGTTTAGTTAATGCCCAGGAGCAAAGAAGAAGAATTTCAAAAAATTATGCATTTTCACTATATGATCTATTTAGCCCCGCCCTAGCACTAGAGGTGACCTAAAAGTTGAATCTACGCCACCTGAGGATATTTCCCTACTCTGAGGGTTATGATGTGAACAAACTTGAATCTAGAGTATGCAATGAGGCTTTCATGCGCAAAAGTTTTATTTTCTCTTTCCCAGTGGTTCTTGTGAAGATTTTTAAAAGACTTTACCAAATTTCCTTTATTAATTACCCTTGAAAGAGAGTGACACTTGTTATGAAAAATGAAATTCCCTTTACTAAAGGAAGCTTGGTGGCAAGTTTGTATGAAACTAACCCAGTTATTCTTGCGTGAAAGTCAAAAATGTGAAAAGTTTACAAGACGGACGACGAACACTTTTCGATAGGAGAGCTCACGTGAGTCTTAAAAATGAAGCTGTGTATTTTTTCTGACAAAACTACAATTTATGCTATTATTACTACGTTTCACAAGAAGAAGGCATGACATTGTAGAGAACGTTAACGAAAAGTTAACTACTGTCGCCCTTTAGAGTAACCATTGAAGTTGTAATACTTACCTGAAATTAGAACTACGAAAGCGCGACATATGCATCTTCTTATACAATCTGTTGCGGTCGCGGAGCATCACTTATTGCTTCGTCATTGAATATTATCAATTAGTATAAAGACATTTTTAAAATACGTGTAATTTTAGATTCTATTTTTAAAAAAAATGAAATATATCTGCGTAATTTAATCGATGAGATTGAAATCAATGATATTGCCTTGTTTTAGATAACTCGAGCCTCTCTAGGTTTCGAGTACAAGGGCGAATCCAGCAACTGTTTGAAATTTCGGTGCCATAATTTTCGTGCATGGAAATACACCTCAGGCACTTCAAATCTGTAGCAACAATTTTTAAAAGAAGACAACATAAAAAATTGACAAAAAATGAATCAAACAAACAAAAAACAATCAAAATAAAAAAATATATAATAATCTGTTTTTCACCCCGTATAATCCTAAGTCAGAGGAATGGGAGTTTTCTCTTTTCGATACATCTTTTCTTTTTTTTTTTTTTTTTGTTCAAATGTTTGAATTTCGCTTTTTTACCTTCAGTAAATTTAACAAAAAGTGCAAGAGGGGGGAAGCTTATATGCAATACAAATAAAAACTAACATACATGTATTACAAGAAAACTATAGCTAAGGATTAACTCCATATATGTCCATTCTCTCCTTTTTTCTCTCACTATGAACATGCACGCATCTATTGCGTTCATAGCGCTATAGACGCAACTTTTTCTCCTATGACTGAAATTCGTTTTCATACTTGCATATTACAAGCTATACTACACAAGGAGTATGAATTCAGAAGTAAACCCAGTATATGTGAAATGTTGTGCAAAAGGAAAAAATATCTAATTTTTCTCCGAAAAAAAAAGAAAATAAAATAACTCAAAATAATTAGATTTGCTGATTAATATCATTAAAAAAATTAATTTGGTCAATGTATCATAAATCTATGAATTTAAAAAAAATGAAGAGAACTACCATATTTTTAATTTTTCTGTTCATATTTATGCATATTTTTGCAAAGAACAATAAACCTATACGCTTGGGCGTTTTACATTCAGAAAAAACGATTTATTTCATTGTAATCATCATTACTCTCGAAACAATGATAAACATTGTAGCCACAAGCTTTGGGACATTCCTGCTCACATTCATTGCCGGATTTACCGACATGCTTTGAAATGAGGAAATCTTACCAGATTCCTTTAATGCTTCACACTGCTTAGCGTTGGTATTTGGTTTACAGGCTATGTCACATTTTCCTACGTCATCACATGTTGCATTTATACAGTGTTCACATTTCTCCTCACACTGATTACCATAGAATCCATGATCGCAGAAAGCACAGATATGAGGAACATCTGAACATCCTAATTTGCTAGTCTTACATGTTTTACTTTGATTAGTCCAACCCATTTTGCAAGCATCACAGCTCGCATTATCATGACACACTTTACAATTATCTTGACAAAGATGTTGACAAATTTCACCGTAATGACCATCATTACACTTCGAGCATTCAGACGCACTGTAGCAAAATCTGCAACCTTCAGGACAATTTTGGTCACATTCAATACCATATTTACCGTTAGAACATCCATACAAACATGTTCCATTCACATCACATTCTTTACGTATGCAAGCGTCGTGACATCGCTTTTCACACATTACACCATAGAATAGATTATTTTTACATTGTGTGCACAAATTATTTGATAAACACGATAAACAATTTTCGGGACACTTGGCACATTTTGCTTCGTTTAGGAACCAAGAATCCTCACATCTCAGACATTTTACTTCATCATCTCCTTCAATAAAACCACAATGTGTACAGCTTCCCGTGACAGCACTGCAGTCATGCTTGCACTGCTCACCAAACCATCCATCTTTACACCCATGAACACACGTCTGATTGCTGAAACAGGTGACATTAAGACAGTTTGCGCTGCACTTGTTTAAGCATTTTCGTCCATATCTACCTGGAACACAACTTTTACACTCTCCAGTATATTGATCACATTTTCCAGGTGAATCACAATATTTACTACAAGTGTATTCACAAAAGTTGCCATGAAGTTTAGAAGAACATGTTTGACAGTAACCTGATTGAATATCGCAAGATCCATTTCCTCCACACGTAGAAGGGCACATTTTAGCACATGTTACACCGAAATATCCATCTTTACAAGTTCCACAACTGTATCCATCTTGACTACACCAATGACAATTACTTGGACACGTTTCATTGCATTTAGAACCACTGTATCCTCTCTTGCATTGCTCACAGTTTCCATTCCTAACACATGATTCCCCAGCACAATTTTGTGGACATGTGAGATTGCAGAAATGACCATATATGTTATCTGAGCACTTAACACACAGCCCAGTCAATTTGTCGCAACCGCTTTGACATTTTCCAAGACAGGTCTTAATACAGGTACTCCCATAATAACCATTACTGCATGACAGACATTCTCCTGTCTTTTGGTCGCATTTATTGTTTGAACAACTTGTGTGGCAAGACAGGGAACAGTTTTCTGTGAAGAAACCTGTTTTACATTTACAGTATCCGGTCGTCTTATTACAATGTTCACGACAAGTTATTTCACATCGATTACCAAAGAAGCCATTCTTGCATTCCAAACAATCGCCTGTTAGCGGATTGCATCCTCTTTCATTACAGGACTGGGGACAACTTTTCCTACAAGACTTTCCGTAGAAACCCTTGCGACAAACACAACTGCCAGTAACTTTGTCACACTCTTTGTCACAGCCTGTTGGACAAATGTTGCTGCAATTTTCCCCATAAGTTCCATCCGTGCATTCTAAGTTTACGAGAAAAGTTGAGTATCGATAAATCAACACGATACTAACTGCAATACCATTATCATGAATATTGTGTGTATAATTTCCATATGTTTATACGTAGGAAGAAGATATAAATACAGGAAATGAAATATTCCCGTCTTTATGATTATTACAAAATCAAAGAATAGATCAAAGACCAGACTAAAACAATAAAATATTAGTTCTATTTCTAGTGTGAGTTAGTCTAGTCTACTCAAAGTCTCGTTCATTATTTTTAAGATAGACATGACCATAGGCTAAGTAGACAAAATCAGTTTTGTTCTGAAGTTTGGCTCGAAATTTTAGGATTCCCATTAGGAGGTAAAGTTTACGTAAGAACAAGACTTTCGCGGGAAATCTTGCTAAATCAGGAAGGTTTCGTTGTACAACATTGGTCCCTATAATTGCATATACTGGAGTAAATTTCTTTGTGTTTATATCATAAAATCTTATAACATGCTACAAACTATACTTTTCGATTCAATAATTTTATCGTCAATGTTTCTTACTGGGTTTTTTTCCATTCCCCATTCTCCAAGTTTATGACAAACAAGATGCCCATGGACCACATTGCTCACCTGAATAGCCTTTAACATGCTGTTCTTACCAGATTTCCCCCTTTTAATACTTTTTGTTACCCCATCCTTCACCACAGGTCATAATTTGAATAATTTAAAATCTAACTATCCCATGATCCTTCGCATAAGTTTCAGCTTTTTTTCCCTAGTAGTTCCCAAGAAGAAAATTTTTAAAGATCTTGATAAAACATAGGACTGATTTGAAAAACAGAGTTGAATAAAAATAAGGGATTATCTTTTTAAAAAATCTAAAAGAAGATGTGTATTTGAATTATTGAACAATAATTGTAACAGAGTACTATTTCATTTGACATACCGAAACGTTGAAATTCAAACACTTCGAGTTCTGTGTTGTTTGGAGATACTATTTCTATATATTTTCCTTTTAGAGGTTTCCTGCAGGTCATTGTTATTGTTCTCTTTGTATCAGTGTCATTATGTATCCATGTGTCGCAGAGGACTTCAAGGTCACGGCGAAAAACCTCTTCTTTCACATACAATGTGTAAACTGCATCACGCCCTACAATAAAAATAGAATCTACAATATAACAGTGACAAATGGATAAGTGATATCCATAAAACGTTTATTCGGTACTCACTAAGTCGGAGGGTGATGTCTATTCTATCAATTTCTGTTGACCTCTGTAATTGTACTCTCACAAATGGATTAACGTAAGAAACATTAACAGAAGTGTTAAGATTACCATCCAGTGTCTGATAATTCATTTCGTTCCCGCCATGAATTTCAAACAAAGTGTTACCTGTAAAATAAGTGTTCTGAATAAAATTTTATTTGCTTACGTCCATTTTGCTACAAGGTCGCTGTTTTTATTTCGCTAAATAACTCAAGACGAAATTGTTTAGTCTATAAAACATTTTACTTAATTTAATATTTTAATTTATAGTGCGTGAGTGGGTCCCGGGGAGTAGAAAATGCGTTTGGAGAATATCTGTTACTAACATCATTACAAGTAGTTCAAACAATTCCTCACCTTTTTGACATTTGTTTATGGGAGAACCACTCCATCCAGGCGAACATTCTGTACAATTTTTACTGCAGTCTACACAGTGACAGACACAGGTACCATTACGCCAGCATTGTCCTTAATATATTTAAAAAATCTTTAGATTAACTGATATGGTTTCTATAATTGAACAAGTATCAATAAATTAGAAATAATGCTATTGCCAAAGTCCGGTACCTTTTAGTATAAAGGTTTACCTAAAAATCGCAATGTTTTTTTTTTTGTTTTGATATATCATTGTATTTTAGGAGAAGTTTATTGAAAGTATAAAGATCACAGTTCAATCTGTTTTGTTATTTTGATTTTACCTTATCTCAGTTAAAGGCACAAGTAAGCATTTCTGATCCTCAGATGTCCGTCGTCTGTTCGTCTGACTGTCCGTCTATAAACCTTTTAACATTTTTTTCAAGAACCACTAGGCCAATATTAACTAAAGTAATACAAGGCACCCTTTGGTAAAGAGAAATCTAAATTGTTGAAATGAAGAGCATATCATCTAAACAACCATTGGGCAGAAAAAATTAAACTTAAGTAGAAGGACTCTATTTCAGACATTGTGGATTCTTAATTGTTCAAATCATGGATCCCTAGGGTAGGGTGTTGTCTCAAAAGGGAATCAGTTTTTTATATTGAAATATTTATGAAAACCTTCAAAAATATTCATTTCAAGAAAAATTAGGTTAGAAAAATTGAAACATATGATGAAGCTTCCTGGGGTAGTATAGATTCTTAATTGTTCAACCCATGGTCCCTTGGGGGTAGGCTAGGGCCAGGAATGTTTAACATTAAAATACATGGAAAAGTCTTTTTAAATATCATTTGTCCATAAATATTTAAATTAGGAGAATGCTTCCTTAAGAGGTGTACATTGTATTATTCAAAACATGGTCTCTACGAACAGGGACGGGCCATAGTAAGGAATCAATGTGTAAAATTGAAATAAATACAAATCTTTAACAAATTTAGTTTCAAGAACTACTGGACCGGTGTGGACTTTTTAATTTTTCAGACCATTGTCCCCAGGGGTAGGGTTGGGTCACAAGAATTCATCTGGAAAAATCATACCACTTCTCTACTCAATCAGAGCATATTGTCATGATAAAGCATATTATTGGGAAGCATTCTCTGTTAGTGTGGATTCATTTTTATTAAAATCATAGTCCCTGTTTATGGAATGAGGCCAAAAAAATCTATCAAAATTTTGCATTAAAAATAAATCTTAATATGCAGAGCAACCGAGCAAAATTGACTTAAGTAAACGTTGGGCCCATGGGCCTCTTGCTAAACTGTGATATAACTAGAACGCCAATAAATAGGTGCCACTCAAAGTTTGGTTGAAAAATACAACGTCCGAGACTGGTCTTGAAAGATTTGGTTTTTTCACAGCCCCCATTGAGCCTTGTCGTATTCGAAAACCAAAGAAATGATCTTCTTGTACGGTAAAAGGGGGTTGTTTTCCATGACACGGAGTCTCTAATGAGACAAATTATACAACTCTTCATCTAGTTCTTAAGGTTCTCTGGCACGTAAAATATCAAAATAAAAAAAAACTGGAAAACTTCAGACAATTCTGTCTATCTAAACTTTGGTTTATTATTGTTCCCGCTTTCGCGAAAGCGAGGGGACATTAAATCTCATTCGTGTGTCCGTCTGTCCGTCACAAAAACTTTAACCTTGCCCATAACTTTTGATTTAGTGGAGCTATGACTTTCATATTTCGCATGTGTATTCCTTGTGATAAGACCTTTCTTTGGGTACCAAAAATTTGACCTTTTGACCTTGACCTTGGAGTTTGACCTATTTAAACACAAAAATTCCACATTTACTTTGGCCATAACTTAAGAATGGCAAGTACTAGGACTTTCATATTTCACATATGTATTTCTTGTGACAAGACCTTTCATTGAATACCAACAACTTTGACCTTTTGACCTTGACCTTGGAGATTTATGTACTAATAAAAAACTTTAACCTTGACCATAACTTTTGAACAGTGACGCTAAGGCTTTTGTACTTCACATATATAATTCTTTATGGCAAGACCTTTCATTGGTTACCAACAACTTTTACCTTTTGATCTTGACCTTGGAGATTTACGTACTTATGAAAAACTTTAACCTTGACCAAAACTTTTAAACAGTAAGGGCTAGGGTTTTGTACTTCACATATGTAATCCTTGTTAAAAGACCTTTCATTGGATACCAAGAACTTTTACCCTTTGACCTTGACCTTGGAGTTTGAACTACTTTTTAAAAACTTTAACCTTGGTCACAACTTTTGAACGGTAGATACTAGGACTTTCATATTTCACATATATATTCTTTGTGGCAAGACCTTTCAGTGGATACCAACAATTTTGACCTTTTGACCTTAACCTTGGAGATTTACGTACTTATGAAAAAGTTTAATCTTGACCAAAACTTTTTAACGGTAAGGGCTAGGGCTTTCATACAAAAGACCTTTCACTGGATACCAAGAACTTTTACCCTTTGACCTTGACCTTGGAGTTTGAACTACTTTTTAAAAACTTTAACCTTGGTCACAACTTTTGAACAGTAGGTACTAGGACTTTCATATTTCACATATGTATTCTTTGTAGCAAGACCTTTATTGTGTTACAACAACTTTGACCTTTTGACCTAGACCTTGGAGATTTACATATTTATGAAAACGTTTAACCTTGAACATAACTTTTGAACGGTAAGGACTAGGGCTTTTATACTTCACATATGTAATCCTTGTGAGAAGACCTTTCATTGGATACCAAGAACTTAAACCCTTTAACCTTGACTTTGGAGTTGACCCTTAACTTTGGAGTTGACCTACTTAAAAAATTTTACCCTTTGCCATAACTTTTGAGAGGTTAGGTTTAGGGTTTTCATCCTTCATATATGTTTACTTGTGACTGGACCTTGCTTAAGAAACCAACAACTCAGACCCTTTCACCTTTGAGTTATATGTCATAAAAATAACATCTCAGCCACAAAGACACCGAAAGCGGGGGACCACAATTCTTTGAATTTGTTTACTAACAATCATTAAATGAAAATATACCTTCGACCATCAGTGTTAAATATTGAATCGCAAATAAGGCTCCAAGCGTTTTCATCTAAAAAAAAAATGCATATAGTATCCATAAATATAATATGATAAAATATTTCATATTATAAGGTATGAAAAGTATCTTTTAAAGTACATGTGATCTTTGAAAAAAAATACCAAGTAAGTAATATGCATAAAATTTAATTGTGCATCTATATAAATATGAGACATATCAGTGGTGCATACACGACAAGTACTATATGGTAAATATATGCAAAATAATCTTACTTTTATTACAGTTTTGTTAATTATCATCATGCAAAAAAAGTACCCAATAAAGCTCATCAGAATGTTTTGTGTCAAAAAGTACATATGCAAAACTACGATTTTGTATAATAATACAAATCTTATAATACAATTCTTACCGTGTATCCCGGCCTTTACAATACGAATTGAACGTACCTGCATTTTCAGGGAAGGATCCATTCCTATCTATATGTATCAATATTTCTCAGCACTCTGAGAGAAATTTCTGAATTGTCATCCCAAGGGATGACACTTTTATCAATGTAACTCTTTTATTTCCCTTTCTTTTCCATCCTGTGATCTTTTTTTAAATAAATTGCATAATTTCCTTATTTGTTATAATACATTTCAAGGATTCGTCGTTAAAGGCATTTTCTGGGTGCTATTCTAAGCATGCAGTCTAAAAATAGAAAATGTAAAAGTGAATGAAATTTAAAAAGAAATTGAGAAAAAATGCCACTGTCAAAGTAAACACTACACAAGCACTAGTGTATATTTCTGAAATAAAAAAATAATATGTTTAAAAACATTTCTTTTATGCAAACACATACTTGTATAGTATGATGTTTCTTTTTGTTGTTGTTGTTTTATTATTTATCAGGTCTAACAGGTACGGTAATTACGAAATGATTTCTTTTTTAAAATTATATACCTTTCGCTATATTAATATTAATTATACACGTAGTTCTTGACATAAAGGGTCAATCTGGACTGTTGAAATGATTTTTTTTTTTTATTTTTTTTTTTTTTTTTGGTTTTTAATTATAAAGTGTTTAAAATGGTGTTCATCCGTTTATTAGACATTCATTGGTAATGTTTTCGAGTACGGTCAAGTAGTATTCTACAATCATATATTCAATTTAATAGACATAACGTAACATTTCCGGAAAAATAAAATATAAACATTACTAATTAAGGAAGTTAATTTTCAAGAGCATTTTGAAAAATTAGCAATCAATTGGTTTAATTATATACGACTCCACCTTTGACCTTTAACAGAACAATTATTAACATTATGTAGAGGGGTAAACGTACAGCTATTACTGTGTCAGATCTAGGTACTTTTCATTCCAACATTGTACTTGATAACAAATAAATTAAATACAAAAATAAACATGTAAGACAAGTCAAAATGATATTATATTGATTTCCATTTCGGTAGAAAGACCATAAGATGACAAAAACCTTTTACTATGTTTCTATAAAAACATTTCGAACAAAATTAATCAAATAGGCCTTTTTTACCTTTATTAAAAATAGATAGATTTTAAAGAATTATGTGCCTATTACAGTGAAATACTAAGTATGAAGACATCAAATAGCTATCATACTCAAAGGTTCAATGAAAAACTACAAATCAGGAACAGAGCAAACACGGCATTTAACTCTAAAAACATCAGAGATGGGATCAGGCGGAGTGAGCATCCCCTGTCTACCGGTCACACCCACCATGTGCTCCAAGTCATGATCTGGCAAACAGTAAAATCTGTAGACAATTCAATGCGTTATTAATGTCCCATCAATTTATATGAGAAACGTCCATCAGCATTTGATTTAACGGTAAATGACAATTCAATGATCGGTGAAACGAGAAACTGCCTAAAAATGGTTTAGTAAGTTACATGTATCAACGACAAGAAAATTCAGTATTATTCTTACAAAAGTAAATGTACTACAGTGTATTATTAATAGTATTGTTCTGTAAACCTTTGAACACACTTCCGATTTCCCCTTAATGTGTATTTTTGGGCTATCTACAAGTGTATCAAAATTTCCGGCCAAAATTTGAGGAAGAAATTTGAATTCATACTCAATTGTTCGTTTTGAAAACAGGTGGATTTATTGCTGAAATGATAAACACTAAAAGATGTACTATATCCTGTGATAATTTTGAAATGTCTTTGGAGTTAATGTTCTTCCTGATATTTGGGATTATTGTGATTCATAGCCCTAAAGTAGAAGGTATTTATAAACATGAAAATGAGAAATAATATTAATACGACAAAAAACTACAAATGCGTTAAGAATTTATTCATTATTTCTGGTTGTTTATAATTGTGGAATCATTGGATAACATGGTGGTGAAATTTTCGTGGAGTAAGACTACACACAGAATCATATACCTTCTAAATTTAAGCAATCAATAAAAATTTAGCCCACAGGACAATAAATAATTCAGAGTACATGTATATTATATGAATTACGACGTTTTAATTTTTTTTAACTTTGTATTTTTTAATTAGGTCAGTGTAAATATCTTCCAAACTCCACTCATGTCTGCATGTGTCATTGTCACAGTAACTGTCGCCATGGATGCCAGACTTGTGATTTAGGGTGGAGTGGATCCAAACAACTACATTGCCAAAAAGGTGCATAATATATGATATACAAACATAGAAAAGTTCATTCAATCTCCTTTTTCAAAGTCATATGAGTATATCTGAATTACAAAAGATAAATATGATATCATACCATGTTTCAATTATTAGTAGTCAATGTATTAAGAATTTATAATATATACCTGCTGCAGAGAATCTTGGGCATCAAACTTGAAAAAAAAATATTCAAAACGTTTAAAAAGTTCCGACTTGTCATCATACTATTAATCATAGACTAAGACATTCATACAGTCATGAATCAGTACAATAAATCACACTTGACTTCCATGTCTTTTGTATAAATTTTGGCTTAAATACAGATGACATGCATACAACATGACTAATCAAAAGAAGAATCGACATTTCAGTATGATGAAAGAAGGATATGGAGATAACGAACAGTATTCAATATCAAAGTCAATCAAACAATACAAAATAGGAGCCGAGAAAACACGGACCTCCGAAAAATCAGAGGTGGGATCAGGTGCCATGGAGGAGTGAGCATCCCATGCTGACCGGTCATACCCGCCGTGTGCTCCTTGTCATGATCGGGAAATAACGTCAGCATTTGTCTCAATGATGAATTGTATTTGCTGACAAGGTCATTGTATCGACCATAGAATTTACGAAATGATGACTTTAAATCAGACTGTTGATATTCTTGTTTCATCAACTTGTTTGTCAATTATTTACCTCGTTTAGAAATTGTTTATATGTAGAGCATGCTCTTGCGTACCGAATCGACTGAGATATACACACTCCGTATGCTGGTGACGAAGATATATTGCTGTATAAGTAAGGGAAGTTGACGATAAATTTCAGACAAATGAAAATAAAGTAGGATGAATACTACTGTTTTGTATGGATGCATATTTATGCCTCCTACATGCAAGATAGATTATGTTAACATGCAAGAAAATCATGTTTACATGCAAAATAATTATGTTGATATGCAAGTTACAAATCTTTTTAAGAGAATCTAATTTTAATATGGGTAAAATCCTTTACGTAAGCCCGTATCTGACATCATAGATGCAAGATGCAATATAATAAATGACAAGATTCGATTGACTTAATATGTCAACATACGAGTTAATTATGTAGACATGCAACTTATTTATGTGAAAATGCAAGTAGATTATGTAAACATGCAAGATACCCATGTTAACATGCGAAATAATTATGTAAACATGCAAGATATGCACAGGCTTCTTATGATAAAAATCAAAGAATTATCAATTTTAGAAAATATAGTGTATCATAAACGGACATGGCAAGAGAATACTTACTCGTCGAAGTTCGATTCCAGTCAGGCGGTGGACGGAAACCTCCAGACCTACTCCAGAGTACAGGAAACGGAGGGCGCCATCTGGTGGAGGGTCAGGTTAGACGGGGACCACAGCATTACAAGAATCAACGTCACTATGGACTGGGGTAAAATTATTACAGTAAAACCCGTTTGGTACGAGCACGGATATTGCGAATTCACGGATATAGAGAAGTTGTTTTAATCCCCAGCTATGTAAATTTAACGAATTCTTTATACAGGTATAATGATTTAAGGATACAGAAAAGTAATTTCTAAAGACTTCTTTATAACTGAGGTTTACTTTATATTAAATTGTCGCTTTTTTCCATTTCAACAAAAATGACAATTAGAAAAATAAAAATATTCTGTTTGGATTTTTAAAAAAATTTTTGTATTCTTGTCTTCTTTTGATAGTGCCTAATATTGAATACGACGTCTATGTAACACATGATTCCCTTGTGACAAACAGTCATTCTCTATGTGATACTGAGAAATCTCACTCAGATCAGATGAGAAGCGTGGTGTTCGAATGTTCCCGGGCGATGATAGGCAGCACTATAGAGATTCAGGCACCGCCTCACGTTCCCCTGACTATCTACGAAGTCAGTTCAGTCTGTAAGTGTAATATTAGGGGTTAATTTTCAATATTTGCCCCTCCCCCCCCCCGGGGATCCGGGTTAGAATAGGTCCTCAGTACCCCCTTACTTGTCGTAAAAGGCGATTAATGGGGCGGTCCTTCGGATGAGACAGTATAAATCGAGGCCCCGTGTCACAGCAGGTGTAGCACGATAAAGATCCCTCCCTGCTCAAAGGCCGTAAGTGCCGAGCATAGGCCTAAATTTGCAGCCCTTCACCGGCAATGGTGACGTCTCTATATCAGTGAAATATTCTGGAGAGGGACGTTAAACAGTATACAATCAATCAATCAATATTTGCCAAAATTCGTAAAAACTTTTTAAAACTTTTAGCCTTCATTGAAGTCCAGAGATCTTATTTTACACCATTGCCATCGGTCTCTGTCGTCAGAGTTAGGGATAAGCTTGGGAAACAGGTCCACTCTCAGGTAATTATGGACCTGACCTGGATTTAAACTGTTTTATTAAATAATCCAAAACTAGATATATTATGATGCTGGTTTTTGCCAACATTTTCTCGATGAGTGAAAGGCTAACATTTTTGTAGGATACCGGTATTGATTTTTGTATTTAGGCTCCAAGGTGACTAGATACCTGTAAAGGACAATGAGGGATATGTAAAAGGTCATTTTTAACCTTACATGGATTAAACTTTCATTGACGCGGATTATAATGCCAGAGCAAACTCCTTAGACAGGCCCATTCCCAAATTACTACAGTATAATCCATATCTGCTTATACTTTAAGTGGAGATACAAGTTTATTCATATGGATAACTCATTAAAACTCTTTTCTTTTGATGCTGAAGCTGACCCATTCCATTTTTTCCAGAGGAGGGACCTTGTTATACTAAGTATTTATGACGAGCCCTTTCTAAATTACTACAAGTAGTAGCCTTAAATTTCATGGACCAAAATTGCATGGACGATGCATCTAGGATGTTTCCCTGCTTCGGATTTCCTTGATGACTTTTTTAGAAATCGTTATATTGGAACATTTCGTCGTGAACGTAAATTCTACCCGCATTACATTACACTAGGGTACATGTATATTACAGTATGTATTTCATGACGTGATGCGCACTATACATACCAAACATTTATAAGATGACATTGATATTTGTGTTAGTCTTACTTTTTGAGAACATGCGTCGATTGATTGATTGAATGTATGTTGATTGCACCGCGGTATGTTGTTAAACGTCCCTCTTGATAGTTTTTCACTGACATTTGCTGATGTCCAAAGCTACAAATTTTGTCCTATTTTCGGCACTGAGGGTGACGGTCTTTGAGCAGTGAGTGATCATTTTCGTGCCAGCACCTTCTGTGACATGGGACCTCCGTTTATATAGTCTCATCTGAAGGACCGATCTCCACGTCCCAATATGTGATTCAGAACCGCGACGAAAGAATTAATTCCTTATTTCGCAACCCTAGAGCAGATGCTCTAATCACTATAATTTGCCATTATACCTAAATTGTATTATGTTTATCTACAAGAGAATGGTCACATCATGTCAGTAAAAGAATTTGCTTCAAGTCTTCTTTTTAATTTGACTGTTTTTGTGATTACTTTTACATTCCAATGAATTTATAACATTTTTCATAACTATCTTGTTATATTCATATAGCTTGTACTGTTGGTACACATGGTGAAGAATGTGACATACTTTGTCCCAAGGAATGTCACAGAAGTTGTAACAAGATAACAGGAAAGTGTGACCAATGCCCAGCTGGTCAGTTTGGAGATTCCTGCAACTTAAATTGTTCTAAATTCTGTGGAAAATCCGGCTGTGACAGAACAACAGGGCAATGCTACCAATGTGCCACAAATCTCTGGGGACCGAACTGTACCAAATACTGCCATAATGCTTGTTCTCTTCACTGTCAAAGAGAAACTGGACATTGTCGAGTTTGTCAATCAGGACATCGTTTTAATGGCACGACGTGTGAACAATGTCCAAGTGGGTCTTATGGAGTAAATTGTTCTCAGAAATGCGCTACCAAATGTAAAGATGAAGTTTGTGATGCCGAAACAGGTAAATGTTCTGATTGCAAAGAATGGTTTTATGGAACATTTTGTCAGAATGA